GGACTCTCCAGACACCCACCACCCTACACACGGTTCCAATGGGGGCAAGGGCTCCTCCTTGTGGCCCTAATGCAAGTCGGGACCCTAATGCAACTATCAGTCAGACCTCGGCCACCTAGTGGGGTGATTGGGACCCAAACTCTGGGCTCTGTCATAGGGAGCCTCCTGACCATATTCCCCTCTGTTCCCTGGGCCAAACTGTGCCCCCTAAAAGGAGTGACTTTCCTGGCAGCTTCCAAATAAAAATCCCACAATGGTCATTCAGGTTTGTAGACTTGCTATAAATTATGCCTGTACTCTGGGCAGAGACAGCCAGAGAAAAAGAAGTCACAAGAGAAAACCCAACCCAGAGGCACAGAGATTGGGAAGGCAGACAGGGAGAGAAAGAGCATGCTGCTGATATGGATATGCCCCACCTGTTAGAGAAAAACTAGAAACAGCTCTTACCTAAATGGCATAAACAGCAGTCCCAAGCCAAAGACTGAAGGAAAAAAAAAATAACATTCTGGTTATTTTTATTATTCAGTGTTTCTGGGACAGTTTGCTCATCATTTCTTGGTGTGAGCTCCTTATTCCCTGCTCTTTGCAGTCTCCACCATGGTGGGACACAGAGCCAGGACCCAGAGACCTACATTCCCACCCCCACCCCAGCTCCAGCACCAGATGGTCAGCAGGGATGTCAACAGGCTTCCTTGGGCTCCAGAACAGCCCTCTGACCATACCCAAATCCTAAGAGTTTGGCTCTCATCTCTGCGCACCCCTCACCTACTCCTGACTCATACCTCCTCTATCCTTAGATTGCCCCAGAACCTAGTGAGAAGGTCATCACCTCTCTCATCCCTGAGGCAGCAGAGATGGAGGGAGAAAAGTGAGATTCTGTGGGAAGAAGCAGACATGTGAGCTGGTCGATGCTCTTCTGCTAAGAACTGAGACTCTGCTCAGAAGCTGGTCCTGCCAGGGTATACGAGGCCTCAGCCAGGGAGGGGAGTGGGCATCCTCAAAACACACGCCTTTATCCCAGGCCACAGGGATATATCCCAGAGGCTACTTCCCCCTACCTTTTCCCTCCCTGTTACCCCAACACCAAAGCCCGCTTAAACTAAAAGGAGTGTCTTCCCAGTTAAAGAGACAGATTCACAGATCACTTCCTCCTATCATTTGTCTAATACTTTTCCATCTAAAAATTTTCCCTGTAAAAAAGTAGTAGAATTACTGCTATTGTTCTGATGAAGAACCTTGGGCTCAGAGTTTGGTTCCCACCCTGGGATTCACACCCACTACCTCCCCCAAAGCATAGGGACCATTCACAAGCCTATTGCAGCCCCCCTGCCTGCCCTGCCCCACCCTCAAACTTACTCTAGTCTTCCCAATTCCGGAAGGCACCCCTCAGGGGGTAGACATAATTTACTATTCCCTCCTGAATTTTAACATCTTAACAGAGGGCTAAGGAAATATCAATCTGGATTGTCCGATAGAATGTTGTGCCAGATGAAAATGTTCTATATCTGTTCTGTCCAATACATTAGTCACTAGCTACATGTGGTTATTGAGTACTTGAAATGTCATTAGTGCAAATGAGGGACTCAATTCTTAATTTTAATGAATTTAGATTTAAGTTTAAACAACAACATGCGGCTGGTGGCTACCGAATTGGACTGTGCAGTTCTAGAATCTTCAAAGCTCAAAAGCCCAGGGAGTCTCCTTTTTCCCACCACCTACCCCCTTCCCTTGAGCCACAGGACTAGGGAACACCAGACCTCGAGGGCTTTCAGGGAGCCGCCTGGGCGCCCCTCTGCACAAGGTAAGATGTCCATCCAGACGGGACCTGCGGGGACAGGACGTCCTCCCTTTCCTTCTTTTACCCTCAACCGCCAGGGGCCGCTGTACCCGGCCGTGCCCGCCCGCCCCGCCCAGCGCTCTGCGCGGCGCCCGGCGCTGTCCCGGAGGAGGTGTTGGCACCAGCGCGGGGCTGGGGACGCAAGGGCTGCCCCTGGCGAGGAGGCAGCGGCGGCGGCGGCTGCGCGCTCCCCGGCCTGGAGGCTGGAGCCTCGGTGGGAACCCGGCTGATCTCTGCAGAGCTGGCCGGGTCGGGCCCGAAGCTCTTCCATACCCAGAGCGGAGCCCACCATGCCTGGGATGCCAGCTTGGGCAGACCCCTGCGGTCCCGAGAACGCAGCAACTTGGTGAGGCGACAGGGCTCCGGACTAGACTGCACTCCAGCTACCGATCCTGCCTAGGGAAGGGGGGCGGCTGGGGAGCGCGCCTGGAGTCCGCCTTTCGAAGTCTTGTCCCTGGGCCCAGAGGCAAGAGGGACCTCAGACTGGCGCCGCCACGGGGCAGGTAGGTCCCAGATGAGTGGGAGCCGGGATTTGGAGGACTGAGTGGGCACTAATGGGGGCGGGAGAAGGTGGGGAGGGAGTTGAAGGTTCTTGTCATTCACATCCTCAACTCCATACTGGTATGCAGACTGCTAATTCAATCACTTCACAGCCTGGATTGGGGCCTGGGGAAAGACTGGGACACTGAGGCAGGAGTGGTAGACACTGGGCTTCAGCATGCAAGCCCAAGAACAGATCCCAGAAGCTTCTTTCTCCAGCTCTCTCAGAGGAAAGGAATAGAATGTGGGAAAACTGGTCCCCACACCCTCCTGCACCTCAGTTATTTTGAGTCTTGGGGTTCACTGAAGGAAAGAGAGAATTGGATTGGAGTGTAGCAGCTCAGAGAGAAATAGGATGGGAATTGCCTGAGAGAAGACAAAACTGCATTTTTAATGATCAAAATGGGGGTTCATGATGGGAACGGGGGAGGAGATACTTAGAAAAGAAGTCTAGAAGGGTGGGAGTCTCTACCCATGGAGCAGCAACCCCATCCTGGGTATGGCCACCACTTTCCCTCCTGCCTCCATAACCTCCTCTAGGCTCTCAGTCCTGGGAGCTAGGATACATCCTCTGTCCTTCCTGGGGCTCTACCACCATACCTGCTTCAGTTCCACCTCCAATCGGAGGCTGAGGGAAGAGAGGTCTTTATGGAGCAATGGAGACGCTGTTGGGGCCTGTGTGCACTGGGACTCAGAGTCACTCTAGCCCTCTGTAGTGGTAATGAGGGTGAGGGTGGCAGAGCTGAGCCAGCTCCCTGTGTATGCAGAAAGCAGGGTAGGAGGTAGAGGTGAACAGGATCCAGAGACGCCTCAGGAATCCTTCCCAGGTGCCTCTTCAGGCAAGAATTGGTCAGATTCTGCTTCAGAACCCTTCACTCATCCTCAGCTCCCTCCCAAGACCAAAGAAATGCCAGAGCTGATTCTTAGGCACTTCCCTGCCATCACCCCTATTTTACTCTGGGGACAGAGAAACTCCCTGAGGCCACTCTTCTCAGGGTCACCACCCTACATTTTCCCAGAGTCTTCAAGGGCCCCTGTGGATTCCCAGGGCGGAGGGAATCCTGTGCAGGCACCATGGGCAATGGCTTCAGAGTCGGGCTCTACTTCAGCACCCAGCTCATTCCTTGCCCTTTCCGCAGCCCTCCTTCATCGTTTACAGGGCCATAGTCTCCCTCCGTCCTTGCAGTCCCCCAATAGTCTTTTTTACTTGTCCAGGTAGAGTGAGTCTGAGGCCAGTGGATGAACAAACAGAAGCCAAAAGATCCCAAAAAAGGTGAGTGAGGAGACATTTGAAAATGGGGAATTGGGATATAGACAGAGATCCCTATCCAAAGACGCAGTTGAGGCCTAGCATTTGGTTTGGCCATTGATGCCCAATGCTGTGCTGGCACCTGAGGGGGTCCAGAGATACCCCAAGGGGCTAGTAGTGTAGTAGATGCAGTGGTCCAGGCCTAACACTGAGCCTGTGGCCCTGCTGCCTCCCAGGCTGCCCCTGCCCCCTTCTGCATCTGGGCATCTTCCAGCTGCTGTGTGCCTCTGCTTCCCTGGGATTCCCTCCATTCTAGCCCACCCTCTGGAATAGATCTGGGAGGTCTGAACCATCAAGGATGGAGAGGGAGAAGGAAAGAGAAAGAGAGAGGATGCAAGGTGGTGCAGTGGGAATAGGGTAGGTTTCTGGGCTCTGATGCCCATAAGCTAGATGGCCTTGGGCAAATCATTTAATTTCTATTAGCCTCATTTTATTTCTCCTTTTTAAAATTTAAATTTTGTTTAAGTTGAATAGTTAGTACATTCCCGAGGTTCAGAATCAAAAAGTGGAAAACGAATATGGACAAAAATGAGCTTACCTTTTACTACTATAGCCCTGTCAACCAATTTCCCTTCTTAGAGGTAACCAGTATTATTAGCTTTTTTGGTACATCTTTCCAGAGCTAGTTTATCCATATTCAAGCAACATATATAATCGCTCTCTATTACACAGATGTTAGCATTTTATACACACCATCCTACACTTTGCTTTTTTCCTTTAATGGTGGATTATCATTGGAGATCATTGCATGCATCAGCACAAAAAGCATTTCCCCGTTTATTTTTACAGCTGCCTGAATGGGACTGCCTTTCTACACATACTCCATAATGTATTTAACCAGTCCCTCACTGATGGTCATTTAGGTTGTACCCAGGCTTTTTGAACTTTAGTTTGCTCATCTGGAAAATAGATAGTTATAATCCTACTTTGTAGCACAGCCAAGAAGGATTCAAGATCACATACCTTAAGTGCCTGGGTCAAGTAATCAACAGATGGGAGTTGTTGTTATTCCTCCCATTTCACAGTCCTCCATGGGACCATATCTAGGTCATTCTTCAAGACCCATCTTTAATGTCACCTCTTCCACATAGCCTTCCCTGCTTTTCCCAGCAAGACCACCTCTCCTTCCCTGTACCCCTTTCCTCATCACTTCCATAGTGAGTTTGTGCCAGACTGAAAGCTGCCTGAGGACACGATGTACATCCTACCTGGCTTCGTGGCTCCCAGAGCACAAGGCACAGAGAAGGTGCTTGGGCTGGGCGCTGGGGGAGCTCCTGCTCGGAGTGGAGCAGAGTGTGCCCTTCTCTCCACAGGATGAGTGAGAGGGCCATACGGAACTGGAACACAGGCAGCTGGCTGCTGGCACTTTGCCTGGCCTGGCTGTGGACCCACCTGGCCTCGGCCTCCTTGCAGCTTCCAACTCCCACAGGTTTGGGGGAGGTGGTGGGGACTGGGGAGGGGGTTCCAAGGATACCTGGAGTGCTGAACATTGCCCCACCCCCTTTCACAGCAGGCAGATCCCTGAGGCAGAGTAAAATCAATAGATTCTAGGGGTTCTGGCTCCTCTTGTGTTCTTTACCCACGGAACTCTGTGCTCCTCTGCTATCCCAGCCAGCAAAAGGCCTGAGCAGACCTATGACTCACCTTTCCTTCCAGGCTGGAAGGTGTTCTACAGGGAGAGAGGCCCTGGGGTAGGGGGGTTATATCTAGCCTCCTGTCCTAATTCTGTAGTTTTCCTTCTGGGATGGCTAAAGCCTGTGTAAGCAGATGATCCTCTCCACGCATTGTAAATCCCCTGGGCCCTTGCCCTCACCCTGAGTAGGGCAGTGTTGGGGAGGTTGGTGTGGACTCCATCTTCCCTTTGCCCAAGGGCCAGACTCTGCCCAGTGGGTGCTGAGCGTGACCTCACTGGGGAGGAAGGAAGGACAGGGGCACTGTTAAGCACCTCCTCCCCTGCAGTTGAAAATTCTTAAATACCCCTCCCCAAGCTGGGAGGAGGGGCACAAGGACAGCCAGCCTGGCCCTGTGGGTGGGAGGGGAATAGGGCTGGGGACCTGGGCTGGATGCCCCATCTTGTACTGGCTGCTCAGGCCTCGTGAAGCAGGGCACCTGCGAGGTGATTGCTGCTCACCGCTGCTGCAACCGGAACCGCATTGAGGAGCGCTCCCAGACTGTCAAATGCTCCTGCTTTTCAGGCCAGGTGGCCGGCACCACGCGGGCAAAGCCCTCCTGTGTGGACGGTGAGTGAGAGGCGAGACCCAGGCAAGGAGGCCCTGATCAGAGAGATAAGGTCTGTTTAGGCTTCTCCGTCTGTTGGGGATACAGTTTCATACTGATCCTGGGGCTTTCACGATCAGAGTCTCAAATGATGGGGCAACCTCAAGGGCGGGGAGGGCAGATGTTGCCATTGCCATCCTCATTTCACAGATAAGGAAAGCTCTTGTTACACGCACACTTTCCTGCACTCACATGCCTTCCCACACACACCTGGTCCTGGGCACAGACACAGACACATTCCTTCACACAGATCCTCTCACACCTCCCATCCAACTCTCATATCGCCTCACACTTACTCCTCCAGACACTTACTTCTTCACCTGCTGGTCCTTTCCCAAGCCATCCTGCTCATGCCTTCCTCTCATCCTCATCCGCATGTTTTTACCATTCCTTCCCTCATGGAGACATGCATAGATTGCTCACACACCCGCCCCTTCCGCACATTTCTGCATGTGCTCATTTTCTCACACTCCTGTGGCATCCCTATGAACGTGCCCAGTTGTACATTCCTGGTCTGTGGACCCCTTCGAATGGCTCCCATACTTACGCATACACAACAAGGGGCTATGTTGAAGATTGTGCCTCTAGGCTAATGACATGTTGGCTCAGCAATAGGGTTGCCTTAGAGATGGCTTCCCTGCCTTCACCCTGTGCCATCTGTGATGAGATGTAGGGACTCTGTGGGATTTAAGTTCATACAATTGTGTCCCCATGCTTCAGCCTGAGTACTGCCTCTCTGGGCAGCCTAGGGTAAGGGAAAGACCAGGGAAATGCAGAGCTCAAAGACAGAACTGTGTGGAAACGTGCACTTCATTCCCAGACTTCCTCTTGACTGCTTGTCCTCCCAGAGAGTTTAGGGCTGCCCTCACTGCTTCCTGCTCCCACAGCCTCCATTGTCCTACAGAAGTGGTGGTGTCAGATGGAGCCTTGCCTGCCAGGGGAGGAGTGTAAGGTGCTCCCTGACCTGTCGGGATGGAGCTGCAGCAGTGGACACAAAGTCAAAACCACCAAGGTATCTAGGGATGAACACTTCATCCCACCCCAACCCTTCCCCTTCACCTGGGGTGGGAAAGGAAGCCCAGGAGTCCTGGGGTGTAGGATGTCTGTGTCCCAAGGTGAGATCTGCAAACCATGAGGCACATCCCCAGACAGTCCTCCTCGGTCTGTCCTGACTTTGGAATTAGGAGCTCTGGATTTGAAATCCGGTGTATCCTCCTGGGCAAATTCCTGATGCTCCATATGCCTTAGTTTCCTCCTCTTTGCCTAGAGTGAGTTTGCCTGCAGAAATGTCAGGTCTATATAAACAAAGTGGAGAATTGAGGGAAATATCTAGTTAATTCAGAGGAAATCTTAACTTCTACCTAAATTCCACTCTACCCATCCACCCCTGCCACAGACCCCTCCCAGCCGCCATTGTTATTAACTGCCTATAGCACTTAACCTGCTTTCCTCTAGTCAGATTGCTTGTGCTGTGACAGCACCGGAGAGGATTATTATTTGCATGATTTGCTGCCTGCCCCACAGAACAAGGGGTAATTAAAATTTTATCAGACTCGTTAGCAATCCCGCGTGTGTCATGGTTAATCAGTCCCACCGTTTTCATCACCATTTATACAGATGAGTAAAGTTGCATGGCAAGCCAGAGCCCTGCCTTCTTCCAACCACCACACACACCAAACAAGCAAACAAACAGAGAAGGAAAAGCAGCCTTTAGGGTTCTGAAGAGAGCAACTATTTTCATAGAACAGAAAACGAAAGAAGCTACAGCAAGAAAAAGTTTGGTTGGAGATAAAGTAGAGCTTCCTATATTCAGGCAGGCAAGGGAGGTGGTGGGACAGTCTCTCTTAAGTATATTTAAGACTAGAAGAGATTGAGACTCACCACAGAGCTAGTGACATTTGTCACCGTTTTGTAGGTTTGGCTTTGCAGCCTAAAGAGGCTGACCACTGTACTTGCGATGTGGGTAGCTACTCTGAAGCAAGGAGTCCCTGGGTGGTGGTGCAAACAGTTAACGTGCTCAGCTACCAACCAAAAAGTTAGTGGTTTGAGTCCACCCAAAGGCACTTTGGAAGAAAGGCCTTGCAACCTACTTCTGAAAACTCAGCCATTGAAAACCCTACGAAGCACAGTTCTACTCTTATATACGTTGGGGTCGCCATGAGTCAAAATCCACTCAATGGCAACTGGTTACTTTGCAGCAAACAGTAGTGAGGCTTGCCTGATTTATGTTTGCATGGACCGCAGGGCCAAGCTTTCCTAGTGTGGACTGCTTTAGGGGCAAGGGCTTGGCAGCAATGACCTCTCAATGGCCTGTAGATCCTGGGGGAGTCTCTGGCATGCGGGGATGGGATAGGCACTCTGTTTTCTAACTTCCCCTCATCACCTGCTCTATAGGTTACACGATAGTGCTTGGGGGTCATGGCCTGGACAGGACAGGCTCAATTGAGCCTTGGACTGAAGAATGGTGTTCAGTTATCAGCCAGCAAGTATGGGGATTCATCTACCTGGACACACATCCCACGCCAAATGCAGCTTCACTTCTTCCAGAGGCATTTCAATTAAGCTCCTTAATATGGGTGGACCTCCAACTACATACCTGGTGTTGTGCTGGGCACTTCTGGGGACACAGAAGAAGGTCAAGACACAGTTCTTGCCCTTAAGGAATGTCTATTTGAGTTGAGGAGTTGATGACAGATAATTTAGATACTTTAGATTCAAGTGTGTGGTACCCAGGCTGTGGCTTCTGAGGAAGCTGTGGGTGTGGTGGGGGTTTGGAGATGAGACTCCACAGCTCTTCAGGCACCTGCTGGCCACAAGGCAGAAAGACAGGAGGTCACATTCACTGCCCACCACCTCCCTACGTCCTATCAATCCAGAATCCCCAGCCAGCTGCTGATATGTTGAAGGAAAACTCGCCCTTCTTATGCCAGACCAGCTGTATCCCATTTGGTGGGATTGGATTGACATGGAGAAGGAAAGCAAAGATGAAGCCAAACAACTTTCCAGCAAAGCTTCTACAGAGGCATCACTTGGTTTGGGCTGTGCATTGGGTATGGGATGGACAGGACCTTAAAATCGTCCTTATCCAAGCACCTCTGGGTTTTGTTTGTTTGTTTTAATGTATGAGGAATCTGAGCCCCTGAGAGGTGAGGTGACTTACTCAAGGGCTCACACCTTGGATTCCCAAGTCTTTAAAGCTACTGACCTTCCGCTTAGCCTGAATGTTGGGATTCAAACCTGGGCCTTCCATGTTTTTCTCTCAAGTACAGGCAGGAATATGCAAACTGCTAAATGAACAGCAGCAACATTTTTCTCAGGAGATGCTAGAGCAGGAACTTTTACTGGAATCATTGTCTTCTTATCTGAAATAGTCTAGAATACATCTCTTCCAGGATGTGAGGCCACTTGGTCTCCACTCTGCCTTAGCTCAGAAAATTCCAAATAGGCCCATGACAGACAGAGGCTATTCAGCCCAGTTACAGCTGGGGCAATCCCAGCTGGCATCCCCTTGCCAGCTCTGGCCTACCTCTTCCAGGGTCCTTAGGCTGTGACTCTCAGAGACTCTGGCTCCAAGAAACTCTGGGAGGCTGCGGGGCTGTCAGAGTCCTCTCCCTTCAGAGGCTCCTTCTGGGCAATAGGGGTGGGAGGCTGGAGCCTCTGTCCTGGAGTGGGAGTTGGCATTGTCAGGCTGGCACCCTAGGTGGCTTGGAGATAACACTCAGGCCTCAGGAACTCAGGGGCATGGGTTACTTGGCCATTTCCTCAGTAAGAGAATTGCAGCCTCCATGACTGCTGGAATCCCTAGGATTGCAGGGGGCCTTGAGAGGAGGGGTGTTAGTAGAGCTAGCTGGAAGATGCTGAATTCTGACCCTCAGAGAAGATGATGCAGACAATGGGTTGGGGCTGGGTCTCTGCTCCTCCTCCCTTCCCTACCTTCCTGTGCAGTGAAACTAAGACCAATTGGTATTCCCACTTCCTCACCCCACTCCAGAGTTTATCTTGTTTTTATTTTGTTTTGTTTTGGGTAATAGGGTGACCAATGATGCCAGTTTCTCACTAGACTGTAAATACCAAACTCTGACACATTAAATGCACGTAAATCTCTGCATACAGTGGGACCAGGGAGTAGAGTAGTGAAGGAGTTAGTCAAAAATTTGTCATCACCTCATTCAGGGCTGGGGAATGGATTAGGGGGTTGGCAAATTTCCTGAAAAGATCCAGAGAGTAAATATTTCAGGCACTGCAGACCACATAAATCTCTGTTGCATATGCTTTGTTTTTGTTTTTGTTTGTTTGCTTTGTTTTGTTTTTAAAGCCCTGTAAAAATGTAAAGTGTGAAAAAGCATTTCTTAGCTCTAGAGCTGTACAAAAACAGGCCATGGCTGTATTCAGAAGTTTGCCAGCCTACTGGACCTGTAAGGGGGGGCTACCTCTGCAGCTTAGGGCTGCCTCCCAGCCTCCTGATCTGCCTTCAGTGCATTGAAAACCTGAGCTTAAGGACTGGGTCAGGTTTTGTTTTTCTTCTAATGTTCCTTGAGCGATTAGTAGGTGAATTATTTAGGCTACAAATGAGAGCGCTCTAGCAGAGTCAGACAATGAGATGTTGCTCTCCTGAAGGCCAGAATGTGGGCTTCTCCACTCCCTCCCCACCCCTCAAGACTGTGTCCAGGAAGGCAGGAGAGGTTCCCTCCCTACCCCTGGAGACTGTCCAGGAAGGAGGGAGTGGGGCTCAGCCCCCTGCGCATCTGCTGCATCCACAAGCCACTGGGCTCTGAGCTGGGGAATGAGCCTGAGAGAGTGGGAATGATGCCAGACAAACTCTCTCGCCTTAGCCACTAACCACTGCCAGTCCCTGCCTCAGCCCAAATCCAGGTTTTCTGACCTCCCATGACCCTCTTCCCCCATCCCCTGCAGAGCAAAGACCTGTTTTCTTTTAGCATATGCTGGAATATGCTAATTTATTTTTAACCCCTCAAACTCTCCCATTTGCTCCTATCTATTTATATATTTATTTGGTGGGCTTTGAGGGGCATCCTTTATGTGCCCAGTAGAGTCCCACACAGGAGGGTCTGGTGGAGAAGAGAAAAGTGCCCCACCTTCCCTCTAAGATCCTGCTTTCCAGTTTAGACAGTATTTGTGTGCATTTTGTAGCCACTTCAATGTAAATTAATTTTCCTTGTGCACAGGAGTTCTAGAATCATTTGTCTTCCTCATCTCCCTTCAGTGGGATGGGATCTCAGATTCCCTGAAGTTTGTTGCTTTCTACTCCACTCAGCTGTGAATTCCCTAGGAAAGTTGCCAACCACAGGGGATCATGTGGCTAATTTCTCTTGGCCTCCTGGCAGTTTAATTAAGGTCTGTGAGTGACATTCTAATTAATGGCCCCAGACAGTTGCCTAGAGTTGAGGCCTGCAGCTTCCTGAAATTACAAGCTTAGAGCTAGAAGGGATTTTAGAGATCAGTTAGCCCAATGCCCTCATTTGACCAATAAGGAAAGGAAGGATCAGAGAGGTTAGGTAACTTGTCCAAAGTCACACAGCAAGCTGATGGTGTATCCTGGCCAGTGATTCAGACAACAGCTCTTTCCACTACTGGACATTGCCTCTTTACCCCAGTTCAGGCAAACGGCCTGAAAAGAAGCCAGAATTTTCTGCAAGGGTGAATGTGAAAGAGTCTCATCCTAAAATACCCAATCCTGTGTGTCAAGGGAGATAGAATGAAGGAGAATGGGAAGCATTTAGAGATAAATGCTTTAGAAATAGGGACAAAAAGAAGGGATTAAGATCACTCATTTAGAAGAACATCAAAACATCACAAAATAATTAGAACAAAACTGACGCTACATCCAAAACAGTTGATTTTTGTCCTTTCTGGAGGAGACAGGGTGGAACTTGATCAACCTTTAGAGGACCTGTGAAGCCAGCTTGATGGATTCTGGGTTCTTTAGATGCTTGTGCAGGGGTTTGCAAACTCAGGCCCATGGACCAAACTAACCCACTGCCTGCTTTTGTAAATAAAGTTTTATTGGAATACGACTATGCTCATTTGTTTGTGTATTGCCTATGGGTACTTTCATGCTAACGGAGGCCTGGTGGCACAGTGATTAAGCATTTGGCTGCTAACAAAAAAGTCAGAGGTTCGAATCCTCCAGCAGCTCCACAGTAGAAAAGACCAATCTGCTCCTGTAGAGATTACAACCTAGGAAACCCTATGGGGCAGTTTTACTCTGTCCTGTAGGGTCACTATGAGTAGAAATTGACTCGACAGCACACAACAACAACAACTTTCATGCTACAATAGCAGAGTTAAATCACTGCGACAGAGTCCACATGGCCTGCAAAGCCTAACATATTTACTATCTGACACTTTACAGAAAAATTTTTGCCAACGCCTGCCCTAGTGCTTTTATTGAATCTTTCTCAATACACCCTGGAAAATGACAGCTCCGCATTGTATTCCAGGAAACCCTGGTGACCTAGTGGTTTAGAGCTACGGCTGCTAAACAAAAGGTCAGCAGTTCAAATCCACCAGGTGCTCCTTGGAAATCCTTTGTGGCAGTTCTACTCTGTCCTATAGGGTCACTATGAATTGGAATTGACTCAACGACAACGGGTTTTTGTTTTTTTTGGGTTTTTTTTGGCATTATATTCCTGGGTTTGGGTTTTTTGGTTTTTGTTATTTTTTTGAGGTTGTGCCTGTTTCCCTCTTAATCTTCTCCATTGCCACTTGTGAGATCTAACAGCCAAAGAAACGAAGACAGAAACCAAGAGAACAACTTGGAGCAGGTGGAATGGTTCCCTAATTTATTGTCACACCCCTGATCAGCTCGGTTCATACATTCCAATTTCCTGTGATTTCCACTTTTACACTTAAAAATTTGCATGTGCACCCAAGTGGAAAGGTATAATTATGCATGTGTACATGCAGCTGGTGTTTCTGTGCATCTGTGGGTTTGAATATCTCCATTTCCACAAGCAGAGTGACATTCAAAATATGTAAAAACCACTTTAGCACAGAGACTGACTAATCAAGACAGACACCAGCCTATACACGAGACCAGGGCACACTGGTTGCACATAGCCCAGCACATAAATGCACATCCCCACTCCACCTGCTGTGGCTGCCATGGGACTCCTGAACAGGGGAGGGCTCACTTCCCTTTCCCAGTGTGAGCAGCAGAGCTGGTTTCTAATTTCCTTAGGCTTATAGACTTGCAGGATTATCACTGAGTGTGGTCTTCATTTGTGTATGGGCACAGAAGCTGCTGGACTTGGATGGCTGTAAACATTGTATTTGGAATAGACATTTAGACTGGACATAAGGCAACTACCTTTCAAGCCATCCATAAGGGTACAAATTCCCCCTTGGTTTGACTTAGAGAGAGAGGATTCTAGCTGTTTCCATGGCTGAACTGACCTCCTGCTGGATGATTGGCAATACACCATC